AAAGTTGTCACTGGTGTACCAGTTTGGGGTTTTTGGCGGTCAAAAAATTAGTTTAGAGTAAATTTATCACAGGTGTACCAGTTTGAGGTTTTTCGTGGTATTAATCCTTTATTATTACCTTTTTAAACAACGGCTTAAACTTACAATCGAGCTATTACATAAAAGTACCAATATTCATTTGTGTGACTTACCAACTTTTCTCCTATTAAGTTACTAATTAGTTTTGGATTGCTAGCTCTCATTTGAATTACTACCGATGTTTACTTATTTATTGACTTAAATTGACCAATGAGTCATCACTTTTTTTTTGCCTTAGTTATTGAGTTCTTTTACCAACTCTTTTTAAAAATTACCAACCTTAGTTAGAGTGATTTCTAACTTTTCGCCAAGAAAGTTCTTACATAATTTTGCGTTACTAACTCTTATTTGAGTTAGTTATCAATGTTAATTTGGCCATTGTCAATTTCTCTTATATTTGATAGAAAAAAGAAACTTCTCTCATTATTTACTAACTTTTATTTACCTTTCATATCAAATGCTTATATTTACAAAGTATAATATGAAATTACCAACCTTTATTTGTATGACTTACCAACTTTTCTCCAGTTAAGTTACTAACTAGTTTTGAGTTATCAATTCTCATTGGAGTTGCTTACTAACGTTTATTTATTTATTCTTAAATTTACCAATGAGTTATCACTTGTTCTTGCCTTGCGTACTAATCTTTTTAATTAACAAACTTTTTTTGTTAGAAATTACAAGCCTCAATTAGAGTGATTACGAACTTTTCTCCACTTAAGTTATAACTAATTTTGCGTTGTTAGATCTTAGTTACTTCCATTTTCTTAGTTTTTTAATTACCAACTTCTTTTATCTCTATAATTTTTTTCTTTTTCCAACTTTCATATACATTTCTTTATCAATGTCTTAAATTTTACAAATTATTACATAAAATTACCGACATTTGTTTATGTGACTTACTAACTTTTCTCCAATTAAGTTACCAATTAGGTTTGGGTTACTAACTCTCATTTGAGTTGCTCACCAACTTTTTATTTATTTTTGCTCATTTGCCCAATTTTTGTGTTGAGTTATGATTTCATTCGCCTTATGTATCAATCATTTCTACAATTAAGCTGCCAACTAGTTTTGTTAAGTAACTTTTATCTAAGTTAGTTATTGATATTTTTCTTCTTCTTTTTTAAATTGCCAACTTTCTCTTATCTCTAACCAAAAAAAAATCATCTTATCTTTTACCAACTTTTATCATTCTTACAACACACTACAATTATAAGCTACCATGTGAAATTACCAACATTTATTTAAGCGGCTTTAACCAAAATTTTTACTAGTAAAGATACCAAATAGAAAAGTTGATAAGTTAAGAAAAAACAAATAAACATTAGTAACTTTTGAAAGTTGGTAGCTCAAAACTAGTTGGTTACTTAATTGGGAAAAATTGATGTATAAATCAATTAAATTAAAGTTGTTAATTTCATATAACAGTTTGTAAATTTAAGACGCAGTTGAGAAAGGTAATTTAAAGTTGATAAAGATAAGAAAAGTTCGTAATTAAAAGGAAAAAAAAAGCTTCATATATAACTTAAATGATAGTTTGTAACTAATTTTCTAGTTGGTAATTTAATCGGAGAAAAATTGATAAGTTACCGTAATTAAGGTCAATAATTTGTAAAAAGAGTTGGTAAATTTAAGGCTTTGCATATAAATGTAAATAAAAATTTGTAATCAATAAGACAGAATTAAATTTACCCATCTCACAGGTTTTTCCTAGAAGACATGGACATCGCCTATAAATTGATAAAAAAGACACAATAGCAGAGCTAAATTCGTCTATGTTTAATTTGGTTTCACATCGACAACAAAGACAACAGGAGGACTTGACTCATTGTAGTATCATTGATCTACATTTTCGTCTGATGATGCACTTAATTATTTTTAAATCCGCCACCCAATCATCTAATCAGACTGGCAATATGTTTCCTGGGAACATTCTCCCGCATACGATAAACCAGACCTTTCAGCCGGCCATTCTGAACCACATTCTGCGTCTTTAATAGTAACACGCAGCTCGTCGAGGCTATTTCTAGGTTCCAATCGAATCCCGCTGAGCCAGTGCACTTTTCAGTTTGAGGCTCACCACGGCGATTGTCACTTCGCTACCGGAGTTTGGTGCCCGCACCACTTTTTTCAGTTTTAATCAAAGCCGAGCGGCGAGAATGATGGATGAAGATGTTGACCTGCCTGTTGCGGCTCCACATGGTGCTTTTGAGTTCACAGGCAGTAAACAGATGTGCAACAAATTATGTGTGACGGACCAGGCGGCGGCGCGCGGGGAGGAGGGATGGCGGTGCGTCTGCACCTTGGTCCTCGGATGTGTGCAGGGAAGGGAGGGGGAGCCTCTCTTGTCCCACATCGCCTAGGGGGAAGTCCTAAACTGGCTTATAAGGCTTGGGGTTCTATATTTGGTAATGCGTTTTAAAGCTGTGAGGGTCAGTGGGCTTAAAGCGGATAATATTACATAGTGTAGACCCGAGGTATTACATTATGAACATCCAGCATGACAAGCTTTGGAAGACATGAAGATCAGCCTCAATCATCCACATCCCCATTAGTTCTAGTCTTGATGATCTCTCTGCTCAAACCCTTTTCAGCTTCAGCTGCACACTTTGACAACACATCTTTCAATTTCCCATCCTTTGGCTCTGAGACCCTCAAGCTCTTAAACTTTCGGAGGAATGCCTCTGTGCCGTCTCCTTACCTACATCTCAGCCTCTGCCAACCGAACCAGAGCCTCAACCGCATCAGCGGCCGACCTATGTATTCCAGGAAAGTGCACCATTGGGACGAGGCCACGAGGAATGAGGCGGATTTCACTGCCGGGGTTATGTTCAGCATCGACTCTCAACATAGAAATGATTCTGGCGACGGACTGACCTTCTTTGTTGTTCCTTGGGGCTTGAGCATGCCGGGCGGCTTGGAAGGAGGCCAGCTAGGTCTTTCGAAGGACTCGCCTGTGGCTTTCGAGGGCGGCCCTCACCTGGGCAAGGGTCTCGTCGACTTCGCTTGTGGCTTTCAAGGGCGGCCTCGCCTAGAGCAAAGGTTGCCTCGCCGGCCGCTAGCGAGGACAGGCCTTGCCTATGGCCGGTGATGGTGGCCCTCGCCAGATCGGGCAAGGGCGACCTTCGCCCAACCCTTTTCGAGCATCACCGGTGGCCGGCGACCACTGAAGAACAAACTAGAAAAAGAAAAAAAAGAAAGAAAAAAGGAAGAAAAAAGAAAAAAAAATGGAAAAAATTCAAGAAAAGGTAAATGATGAAAATGCTCTTGACCATCCGAAAGTCAAGCCCTTCCTTGAAATTGACATAGCCACTTTGGGCTTTTATTTGAAACAAGATCCACTTTAGACCTTTATGTGAGAAAATGAGAGCACTTCATGCCCTTATTTAAAACATTGTCTACTTCGGACCCTTATTTGGAATTCTCTTTTTTTTTTATTGTTGCATTGAAACAATATATATGGCAAGTGAAACTTTTTATTTTTCCCTTGAAAACCGGTTAAGCAAGTAGTTCGGTTCCATTGTCGTTGCTCAATGACAAACAAATTAATTTTTAGAAGGAGAGGATGAAACTAGCATATATTACTTAGTTTTCCTTTAAAGTGACAAACTATGATTATATATCTATAAAATGGAAAATTATGATTAGATATTTAGATAAGCGGGTCATACTTAAGTATCCAACAAAAATTCGTCGCGTTACTATACAATTTATTATTTTCAGGGATTTGGTGTATGCATTTGAGTCATTTGACATTTCATATGTGCAATTCATTTATCGTAAATATAAGTTTTATGTCATCCTTTCTTAGAGGATGATCGCCAATTCCTATAAAAGTAATGTTGCGGACTCATTTTATTGGAAAAAGTTGAGGGATAATGATGGTACAATCACTCGAATTTTTACCTGTTTTACAATTGAGCATCTCAACTCTTTTCTTCTGTGTAATCAAATAGCTCAACTTTTTCAATGTTGGACATTAAAGATGTCCCTTTATATCAAGGATGGAAAATGTCTACGTGGACACTAACGCCGTTAAATAGCCATTAATCATCAATATTGGCGTCGAATGTCACCCTTTGAGATGATTCCACATCAATAGATACATATTGGGCAGCTGAAATCATCCAAGTCAACACACACACTCTCTCCCCTTATCGCTCGATTCCTAAATGGAGATGCTATATTTTTTTGCTAAGTAAGCGAGCCACGTCACCAATTTTTCTTAACGTTTGCCAAGTAAACGAGTCAGGCCAACAAAACCACATGACATGTGAATTTATTTAATGGAGGCCTCACATTGAGCCAAATTTAAAAGGTTGAGATACTTGATTGAACATAAAGTAATAGATAGACAGTCGACTTAAGAATAGGCAAAAATTCAGGTATTTACCGTGTCATTATTTAAAAAATTGAAAGGCGTGGACACTAAAAAATTATGTGGACCATCCAAAGGACATATGAGAATACTTTTCTTTTTCTCTTTTTGCCAAAGGCATACGAAACTACTTAAAACATGCATTTATAATCTTTTGAACTGCCATCTTTTCGACCAAAAAAAAAAATTGCCACCTTCATTTCTGTATAATATTGCGGCTCGTCCCGTTCGCAAGATGGCGAACATAACCATTTTATTGTTTAGTCTCTTCTCAATAATTATTTCACCGCTTGGTTTTCAGAATTTTAGGAGTAGCTATTCCCTGTTCCTTTCACCCTAACATCAACAAAGATTCCCACGCAATAGCTCATTTTTGGTAATTGTGCTTATTTTGCTAACGTACTTCATTTCGTTCATAAGAGTAAAATTCCGATTGAAACTCGAGATCCCTCTCAAAATGGCATTGTTAGACATGATCTAACCTAAATAAATATTTTAAGTACCGTACGACATTATACTAGTAATGAATGAGAAAGGCGAGTGCAACAACTTATCGATAATGACCTCTATTTCGGTGATTTTCACATACATCACTCTTAAATAGACATCATTTTCGAAAAATAAATATAGACATTATTGAGGCAGTATATTTTTCATTTCTTTTGTACAGAGCGAGGCATTTGCTTAAAGCCAAACGCATCTAAGACGACTAGGCGAGACCTTCAGGTTAGTTATATGTTGAATCTTGGCATCTTCGAGGGGAGTTTGGGAGGCTTTGCCTTCAAGTTCAACACGGCCATTGCCTCTTCAATGGAAGGCCGAGACCCAGCAAAGGGATGAGCACACGACAGACCCAAAATCATAAAGGCCTTCGCCTGTTTCTCGTCATAATCCTTGCCGAGCCTCATGTCCACCAGACGAAGAAGTTTCTTGCGCCAGTGCATGCTCAAGTTGCTGCGCCGGCTCAAGCTCCGGCACCCATAACGCTTCCAAACCCACAGCACAAGGCCACCTTGCGCCGCTAGTTCCGAGTCAAAGACGCTCCTCCCACATACTAATTCCAAAAGGACCACTCCGAAACTATAAATGTCAGATTCCTTACTTGCCTTGCCCGTTTGATAGCATTCCGGAGCCAAGTAACCCGGCGTTCCTTTCACTTGGGTTGAGTTTGGCCCTCTGGTGTGGTCAACTAGCCTAGCCAAGCCGAAATCTCCCAATTTGGCATTGAACTTTTCATCGAGCATGGTGTTGCTAGATTTGATATCCCTATGAATCACGCATTGATCACATTGTTCGTGCAGGTAGTGCAGCGCCGAGGCCAATCCCCGAGCAATGTTATACCTCCTTTCCCATGTCAACAAGGTTCTGCCTTTAAACAGATGATCCTCCAAGCTACCTTCTCTCATGAATTCATAAACCAGGACGAATTTATTCGCTTCGTGACAATAGCCTATGAGTTGCACCAAGTTTTTGTGCCTAAGTTGGCTTAACAACATCACCTCGGATATATACTCCTTAATCCCTTGGTGCGAATCGGAGTTTATTATCTTCACAGCGACCTTTGTGTGAGCGCCTCTTATGTGCCCTTCGTACACGACCCCAAAACCTCCTTTTCCCAGAATTCTGTCAGCTGCAAAAGAACCGGTCGCCATCATCAACTCTTCATAGGAGTACTTCTTGGGTCCACTCAACTTTTCGAACTCTTCCGTTAATTTTGTGCTATGTTCGCTTTCTTCTCCACCTCTCTTGGTCTCGGTTATGTTCTCTTCATTTAATGACGAGCTATGGTGACCTTCTTCTCCACCTCTCGCACTATTGTCACCTTCTTCTCCACCTCTCTTGGTCTCGGTTATGTTCTCTTGAGTTGATGTCGCGCTATGGTGACCTTCTTCTCGACCTCTCGCACTACTGTCACCTTCTTCTCCACATCTCTTGGTCTCGGTTATGTTCAGTTCAGTTAATGTCACGCTATGGTGACCTTCTTCTCCACCTCTCGCACTATTGTCACCTTCTTCTCGACCTCTCTTGGTCTCGGTTATGTTGTCTTCAGTTAATGTTGCGCTATGGTAACCTTCTTCTCCACCTCTCGCACTATTGTCACCTTCTCCTCCTCCTCTCTTGGCCTCGGTTATGTTGTCTTCGGTTAATTTTGCACTATGGTCGCCTTCTTCTCCAGCTCTCTTGGTCTCAATTATGTTGTCTTTGGTTAATTTCACGCTATAATCGCCTTCTTTTGCACCTCTCCCGGTTGTCTGAAGTGCATTATTTCCCACTGGCATATCATTGCTCAGGTAAGGAGGACGGGCGACTTTTGATGTCTCAAGTACCAAAGCAACGACGATCGATCCCAATCCAACGATGGCTATGGTAAGCAATGACCCCGGGGGCTGTGGCTTGGAGCTAAATACATAAGGGTGGGCGAGAAACGCCAATGCAACTCCATAGGCAGCTCCGAAAACAACAACACAATCGACTCTGGCAAACATGAATACATCAACAGTCAGCAACTAATTCTAATGCTAACCTCAGTAGAATGTCTCGTGAGAAACCAAGTGTCTTCTTTTTATCACAACCAAGAGGAAAGTTTACATGGCTCAGATGGCACCACAAAGAAAAACTTCATCCATGTCTAATTGTCTATGGTCACCCATAAGGTCAAATGTTTGCTTCAGAAACGTGTGCAGTATCGAAACTGGAGGACCAAATCCCACATAGAAAGGTCAAATGGTTTAGACTCTCTCAAACTTTGGTGTCAATAGTCCATGTTGTAATCGTAGGATTAAGTGTCCGTCATCAGCTTCTCTCAAAAGGCTTGGTCCTCTAAAAAGACCCAATAACTTCCACGGCGAGACCTCGCTTCAATGGCCGTGATCATATAAATTACCTTATGATTATCGGTGTCATAGAGACCACAATGGGGCAAGCTTAACTTACTAGAATTGCGAATTACACCTAAACTAAGGGCCCTTGTTGACCTTGTTCAAGTCCATCAATTTTACAGCATGAATTTAGAAAGTGCACAAGCAGGAGTCAAAAGAAGGGTAAGGGTGCGCATGACAAAATTTCTGTGCCTGGGAACTGATTGTGCTAAAAAATGATTCTTTTTGATTCTGTGCTCAGGAACTGATTTTAAGCATTTGAAAGTATTTTGTAAAGGTCCGAAATTTTCATTCCTAGAATAGAAAAAGAACAGAAATGCATTTAGTAACGGTACAAAATTTCTTTTTATTAATAATATTTTTAAATATTTAAAATTTCTTTCTTTCTTTTTCTTTTTTTTCTTTTTTTTTCTTTTTTTTTCTCCTCCTTCTTGGCTATGGCTTGGTCGCCAACCATAGGCCAAGGCCAGTGAGGATCCCCCTTGTCGGCGAGGGTGAGGGCTGCCCTCCCCCAGGCCGCCAGCAGTGAGGGTCGCCCTCAAGGCTCGCGGCCTGGGAGAGGCCCGCCCTCGTCGGATCTGGCGAGGGCTGGATTTTCCCTGCCGCCCTAGGTAGATCCGGCGAGGGCGGCCCTCGCCCAGGCAGCGAGCCTTGAGGGTGGCCTTCGCCGGCTTGGGCGAGAGCTAGAAAAAGGCCGGCGAGGGCCACGCTGGCCCTTGCCTGTGTTGCCAGTGGTCGGTGGTCGGCCAGGCATGAAGAAGAAGAAGAACAGTGAAGAACAAGAAAGAAGAAGAAAGAAAAAAAAAATTTCTTATCCAATTCTGATTCTTGTTCCAAGAATCAAGAAGCTACTTTTTTTTTTTGCTTCTTGATTTTGTTCCAAAACTGATTCTGAGAACAAAAAATTAAACAAACGGATTTCTGTTCCCAAATTGATTTCGAGAACAAAAGAACAAAATTTTTTACTATTTGGCATGTTGTCATGCGCACCCTAAGAAAACAAAGAGTTTGAGTGCTCCGTGGGGACAAGGAATAGAGAGAGAGAGAGAGTACCTTCGAGTGGAATCGAGCCTGTGGGATCGATCCATGGGGTCAAACGCGGCCTGGCGAATCAGAGAGAGTAGGTGATGAATTGAGTGTCGAGCTTGGCCAGCAACTGGAGCACAAGTTGAACTGAGATCGGCAATGCATCAGAGTCAAGGTCGAGCCATCGACAACGTCGAAGAGGGTCTTGCTGTATGTAGTAGACGAGGAAGGTTAGAAAAAAAGAGTTTAAAAGAAAAAGAGTTTAGAAAAAAGAGGGACCGCACTTTTTCCGCACCTCTATTTCCTTATCGTCGCCCTAAAAACGAACTTGGAGAATTCTTTCCTTCCTTTGCTCTCTCTCTCTCTGTTTTCCTTTTTGTTCTTATCTTGGATTTTGTTTATAACGTAAAATGGTGGAAACAACCCAAGCTGTGGGGACCTTTGAGGAAGTCGACGGGAAGCTTCCCTTTGAGCAAGGAAATATTAAGTGGTTTACAAGCGCCACGTCAACGGCTAACGTGACGTGCGCTTATTCATTAGTAACCAATTACAAATTGAAACATGGAATCAAAAAAATAAATTAAAAGGATATGTTCACTAAAAATCCCAAAACTTATGACGAAAGTACAATTGAGTCCTAAAACTTACAAAAAGTGCAATCAAGTCCTAAAACTTGTCAAAATGTTTCAAATGAATCCTGAAGTTAATACTGTCAAATTTACTAACGGAAAATACTGACGTGGCCCTTACGTGGCACTAACGTGGCTTATTTTAATATTTTATCTCTCATATGTGGCTAAAACGACGTCGTTTTGTCTTAAATTTGATTTTCATACTAATTTTATTTAAATTAAATATAAAAAATAAGCAAAATTAAAAATTAAAGAAAAACAAAAGAAAAGGCAGGTTTGCCCTCCGCGCGGCCCTCCCCAGAACTGGGCAAGGGTCGTTTTTAAGGTGGTTTGCAGAGGATGGAAGACCACATGCAAATGTTCCCACTGCTGAACCCTAACCGGACCCACCTGCACATGCACTCCTCCCCCTTTGACTGTTTCCACTCCCTCGTCATCCTCCTCTTCTTCTTCCTCTTCTTCTTCCTCTTTCTCTTTTGTATTTTGACGCAGCGCAAAGCGTATAAGGAACGATAACATGCAAACGTATAGGAAATCTGAAATTTTAATATTTAAAATTTTGTCGTCTCAAATATGAATAAACGCCTTTTATATGAGGTGTTAACCCTAACCCTACTAGGACTCTAGCAAACCCAAAATTACAAAATTGCCACTAGTAGCAAAACAATAAAGCCCAAAAGAAAATACTAAAAAAATTGAAAAATCCATCTAAACGACTCTGCATCGCCAAAATTCATCATTAGTCATGGCCAAAGGCATGAGAATTGATTAGGAGACCGTTTTGCTGCAACCGATCGAATTTGAGTTCCAAAATCGTCGACCTCTGAGTCCGCCGGTCCTAAAAGCATCTTCCTCCCTTCGACTTCCGTTGGGATTTCTACCTGTCCAATCGGCCCAAAAACGCACTGCTAATACTCTCCACATCATTCTCCTCCACTTGAGAAAAACTCGTCCTCAAGTTAGAATTAGGATTTGGATACAAAGGCTCAATGGATTCATGAAACGGTGACAAATCAGCAACATTGAAAGTATTAGAAATACCCATGCTACGTGGAAGGTCTATAACATAAGCATTATCGTTGATCTTCCTACTGACAGTGTAAGGTCCGTACTTCTTTGGCTGCAACTTGCTCTAAGAACCAATGGGAAACCGGTCCTTACGAGGAAACACCATGACTTGATCACCTACTGCAAACACTAACTTTCGCCTGTGTTTATCTGCTGCAGCCTTATACTTCTGATTAGCCTCTTCCAACTTCTGTTTGACTTCCTGATGCACCTCTACAATCTGCTTAGCCACATGATCTGCCGCTACACTCTTGTTTGCTTGTTTGGGCAACTGAACCAAATCCAGGTTATGCAGAGGTGCCTTTGTATAAATGACTGAAAATGGTGACTTATCAGTAGAACGGTGAACTGTATTGTTGTAAGCAAACTCTGCCTGCGATAAAGCAATATCTCACTTCTTCGGTTTGTCACCACAAATACTTTGAATTAAATTACCTAGAGTTCTATTGACCACCTCTCTCTGCCCATCAGTCTGAGGGTGAGCCGTGCTACTGAAGTTCAAAGATGAATCAAATAGCTTCCACAAGGTCCACCAAAAATGCCCCAGAAATTTGTTGTCCCTATCAGGGGTAATAGATTTAGGGACGCCATGCAAACGAACCACTTTCTTAAAGAATAATTTGGCCACACTTACTGCATCAGAAGTCTTCCTGCAAGGAATGAAGTGTGTCATCTTGGAAAATCTGTCAACCACTGCGTTTGCCAGGACCTTGGCCAAAGAATTCATTGCTGCGAATGAACATGTTCGACTACAAAATTACCGTCCCCTACTCTAGTAAAGAACACAGCACTGACTCATTTCTTGGCCTTCTTCACCGGTGTCGTCTTCAGCTTCGTGGGGGCAACCTTCTTCACAGGGCGTTGCCTTCGCAAAAGTCTGCACCACCTTCGCCGCGGGCTTCAACTTTGGCTTCTCGGCCGCCTTTCTCTTCACACCCACCACAGCTGCTTTGGGCTTGGCGGCAGCAGCAGCCTTTGCCTTGGGAGTTGCCGCCTTCGACCAAAAGGGAAAAAAGGTTTGCCCTCTCCCAACCTCGTCCCTAAGCTCGTTGTTGCTCACGAAAAACTGCGATAACCCGAAGCGCTTGTCGAGGGGCGGGTGACCGCCCCTCGGCCTCTGCCTCACTCCCTTTCGAGTGCGCGAGGGACGGTGTTAATGTACTTCGTCGGCGATGGCGGGGAACGGCCGCTTGACGAACGCCAGAGTAGAAACGAGCGGAGAAGCAAAATCTGAGAGCCAAAAAAGAGATTCAAAATTTGAAAGCACGTTTGCTGGAGAGAGAAACGCTGGAGAGGAAATATATTTGCTTTTCTTGTTCGTCTTCTGATGAATTATTAGGTGCATTTCACACACCACGTAGGATTTACAATAAATCATACATTGATCGACACGTGTCCATATCGGGCCCACCCGTCAAAAAATTGTCTCCCCCTCCCCTCTCTCTCACGCGTCTCCATCTCCTCTGCAACCCCACGCCCAACCTCCTCTCTCTAAAACCTTCGCTCATGCCTGACTCTCTCTCTCTCTCTCTCTCTCTCTAAAACCTTCGCTCATGCCCGACTCACGATTAGCTCTGCTCTCTAGTCCAACGAACCACGCCACCGCCTCCGCCTCCGCTTCCTATCCATCTCCGGTGACAACTTTTGAGGTATTAAACCTTCGAGGACTCCGGAATCATGGGGCTTGTCGTACACGACATAGAACCCGTTGTCCTCGCTGACGTCACGAGAGTACCAATCGTCGACGCCGAAAGCCGAGGTCAAGCTCGTCTTCGGCTTGAAGACCAACTGCAGCAGCTTCTGGACCAACCGTGAGATTCGGGAGTGATTCTTCGCCGTCGTTGAGGTCGCCGGTTGTGGCTGCGGTTGCAGAGGAGAAGGGGGAAGGCGCGGCGGTCAAGGTGGTGAGCATGGATACGGTGATGGCGGAGATGGCGGAGTCGAGCTTGAAGGACTTGAGCTTGAAGAACAGTGTCGAGCGAAGGTTAGAGTGTGGGGGGGGGGGGGGGGGGGCGGGGTTGGGCTTGGGGTTGCAGAGATGGAGAGCAGAGCGCGTGAGAGAGATTGGAGGGGGAGACAATTTTCTGACGGGTGGACTCGATATGAACACGTGTCGATCAATGTATGATTTATTGTAAATCCTACGTGGTGTGTGAAATGCACCTAATATTTTCTCATGAGGAAAGGAAAGGATGGAGAGGAGAGGAGAGAGAATTGAAGAGCAGAGGGAGAGGGCGCGTAGGGCTAGTGTGCAGGCTAAGAAAGAGGATGGAAATTATTTTTAGCGGAGAAAATTGTGGGCTGGCGAGTCGGCCCCACAATCGCCACGTGGATCACGTGGTGCTTCCTGAGTGGTCCGGTCTCCGTGGAGGTCCCGGACCACCTAATATTTTCTCGCACGGAAGACTTTTTTGACGCATTTCGATTTGCTTTCACATTGACCGAACCTCCCCGAGCGAGCGCACTTTTCCGTCTGGCGCACCGCGGCGATCATCACTTTCACCACTTTATCAGAGGCGAGTGTAATATTTGGATTTAAAAAAAGAAGAAGCAAAAAGTTGAAAAGTCAAAGAAAAAAACAGAAAGTGGCCTTCTGCTCATTTTAAGACCGCACAGTAACGGGAAAAGAAAGAGACGCTCACCGAGAAAGAAGAAAAGAGGGAAAAGAAAGAAAAGAGAAGAGGAAAGGAAAAACGAGAGGATGGTTGCCGATTCGACTTCGTATTACAATGCCTGGTAAGTATTCGCGCCCCTCGTTCAGCCAATTGGAAAAGTTTTCTGGGTTAGGGCTCATATTTGGGAGTTATGTGTTATTCGAGCGGCAAAGTTCGATTTTTAAGTCGTTGAGCTATTAATATACATAAAATTGGTAGTTTAGGTTGTTGTGGGGCTGTGGGATTTTATGGTTTGCCGGATACAAATTTTTGAAGTTGCGCGCGTGGTGAACAATGCGCGACCAACGGCTTTTAGGCCGATTTCATCAGTTTTCGGCTCGATTTTGGGTCGGCCAAGTTAGGGTTTTTGTAGTTCTTTAAATGGGCTTTCTTTTGACTATAGGCTTGCTTGGAACGGGGTTCGGTGGAAGAAGTTATGGCGTGATCAAGTTTCGTGTTCAAGCTTTGCATTGCAGACGACTTTGAGTAATAGCTTTGGATGAGCGATTTGTGGGCGCCTTTTAGTCGTTATGTTAGCGTCTAAGCTTAGTTTGATCGAGTCATAGTTGAGGTAGCGTTTTACTCTATTTTAACATTGTTTCTCGCTTATTTGATATGATTGCGAGTTCGACGATTCGAGTAATCTTCCTTTTTAGTTAATTGAAAAGGGATTGAGAATGTTTTATGAAGTGGTCTAAAATGACCAATTGTGAATGCTTTGGTTAAATGCTTTGTGAAAGGAATTGTAAAAGCTGTACGTATTGATTACGAAATGTTTTATGAAATGCATTCTAACTGATAAATGGAATTGTAAAAGGTTATGTAATTTGGTTTGTAAAACCGGTTTATGAAATAATTTTCTGGTGTTGATTGTGCGTTGTTGGAAAAATGTTTTGGTTGATATGGCTCATATCGCTATGATGAGAACCCATTGTGGGGGGAGTATGCATACTGTTAGGACGTTCTTCTGGACTGAACCACCGGCTATATAAATGGTAGACCTAGCCAAGGGCGGTAAACTTGGTCGCCTTTGTCACGGCGTTAAACGTGACCATAGTTCAATGATGACTATAAGATTAGTTGATGGAATTGACTACCGATGTGTGATTGATGAGATTAATCAATGGAATAGATCATTAATAATTGTTTGTTATTATTGAGTAAGTTTTGATGACTAATCTTGTATGTATAGAGTTTTGTTAAAAAATTATCATACATTTTCAATATTTTACGTATATCGTATATTGGATTTTAAGATGATGAGATTGATATCATTTTATAATGATGCATAGTGATTGTTCGATTCTCTTGGAAGAAATGTATTACTCACTGGGCCGTGGTAACTCATTCCTTTCATCTTTTGTGTTTTTCAGGTTCCTCAGTTAGTGGCTGACAGTTCGAGAGCGCTTTTGATGGGGACTTTTGAGAATTGATTTTTTTTTAGGTAAGGTTTGAGGCTTTGTCCTTCGAGCGAAATGACGGCTGTGTCACTACCCCCATTCCTGTGGGATTTGGGGTGTGACAAGCGTTCGTAATTGATCCTGGCGCACCGTTGCGATCATCACTTTCACCACTTTTTCTGTTTTATCAGAGGTGAGCGCTGAGAACGATGAAGATGTTAACCTGCCTGCGCGGCGCTTTGAGTTCATAGGCAGTAACCAGGTCTGCCAGAAATTAAGAACATCCAACATGAAAAGCTTTGGAAGACATAAAGATCAGCCTCAACCTCCCACGCCCACATTAGTACTACTTGTCTTGATGATCTCTCTGCTCAAACCCTTCTCAGCTGCTTCCGCTCTACACTTTGACAATCCATGTTTCATGTTCCCATATGGCTTTGCGATCCCCAAGAGGTTAGCCAATGCTTCTGAGCGGCCTCCTTACCTCAGCCCAAGCCAGCCAAACGGAAGACTCAACGGCATCAGCCGCCGAGCTACGTATTCCAGCAAAGTGCATTTTTGGGACAAGGCCACGGGGGATGTGGTGGATTGCACTACCCAGTATACGGCCAGCACCGACTCTCGACAGGGAAACCCTTTCGGTGACGCACTCACCATATTTGTTGGTCCTTATTACGGCACAGCTGTGGATTTGGGGAAACTGCATCGGTGGGGCCAGACCACCTCCGTGTTTGTGGCGCCTTGGACTAATTGGTGTACCGACTATCAACAGGCAAAGACTCACAGTTTCCTTTCTACTGATGCTTCTCAGGGCCATGTAGCTCGTCCCAACAGCGATTGTGTTGCAGTTCACGTTGACCATGTCAAGAATACGTGGAGTGTGGACGTTCCATGTGTCGGTAAAGACTCGAACGACCCCTGGTCCATGGCCGATGTCCGAAGGGAGATCGTCAAAGTCATGAAGGACGGGTCGGTCGCTCATATTACGTACAACCCGTGTGCGAAAAGTTTGAGCGTGGTCTGGAGGGATAATGATGGGAATTCCAGTAATGAAGTCAGTCGTCACTACGACGCACGCAGCTCAACTGCGTATTTGCCAGAGGTGGTGGGTGTTTGTGTCATAGCTCCCCCTGAATCTGCATTTGAGTATCGCTTTGCCCAGACATCGGAATTACGCTTGGACTCACTGCTTTTGGTGGAAAAGGTTACCGACTCTTGGTTGAAGTCGCTACTGGGCGGTGTCGTCGTATTGGTGGTGACCATTGTTGCTTGGGTAAATTATAGGTCAAAAGTCTCCGGTCCAGAGACACAGAGAGGTGGACAAGGAGGCAACCGCAGCGCAAACTTAACCGAAGAGTTCGAAAAGTTGAGCGGAACCAAGAAGTTCTCCTATAAAGAGTTGATGATCGCGACTGATTCTTTTGCACGTGACAGAATTCTGGGAGAAGGGGGTTTCGGGATAGTGTACAAAGGGCACATAGGAGGCGCTCGCAAACGGGTCGCTGTAAAGAAATTAAAATCTGGTTCACACCGAGGGATAAAGGAGTATATATCCGAGGTGAAGTCATTAAGCCAACTTAGGCACAGAAACTTGGTGCAACTTATAGGTTATTATCACAAGGCGAATGAATTCGTCCTGGTTTACGAATTTATGAGCAGAGGTAGCTTGGAGGATAATCTATTTAAAGGCAGACCCTTGTTGACATGGGAAAGGAGGTACAACATCGCTCTAGGATTAGCCTCGGCGGTGCATTACTTGCACAAACAATGTAATCAATGCGTGATCCATAGGGATATCAAATCCAGCAACATCATGCTCAATAAAAGGTTTGAGGCGAAATTGGGAGATTTTGGCTTGGCTAGGCTGGTTGACCACACTGGAGGGCCAAAAGTGTTAAGGAAAATTCCCAATAGATTTTGAAGTTGACAAAACTGTCTATGAGTGTTTTGTAAGTCTGATAAATGCTTTGAAGTATTTTGATTCAGGAAGTTGTTTTTGGAAGAAAAGCATATGTCAATTTTGATCTAGTTCGTGTTCAGATTGTGAAAGAACTTCAAGCAAAAGAAATTCAGACTCAGAACGAGAAGTTCAGACTCAGAACGAGAAAGTTCAAACGCAGAATTTCTTCAGACGCAGAAATTCTTCAGACGCAGGCGCTGAAATTATTCAGACGCAGACGCTAAAATTATTCGGACGCAGAATTCGAACGAAACATACGGCTAGTGATCCGGTATGGATTTCACAGAAGGAAAGTTTTGATTGTCTCAATCTAAGGCTATAATTGATTGACAATCAAACATTACGACAAGTATACATTACAACGGATAAAGCTCTACTTATGGAAACCAAGATTCTGATTGTATGGGCGACCAGAATCAGCGGGATTCAGATTTTATCAACCAACGGCTACTCAATCCATTTTATACAAATCTGTCCAAAGGTGAATATTGGAAGATGATCCTCTGAAGACTGTCCAACGGCTAGTTTGGAAGTGGAGGAGTATAAAAGGAGATCAACGAGGAGCAGAAGGTAGAGAACGAAATCAAGAATCAACAAGTCCAAAGTCTGAGCATACTCCGATTCAATCTCTTGTCTTTCGTGAGCTTAAACGTGTAATCATTTGAGAGGTGTAGACAGTGTTATAAGTGTGTGCTTAGGTGTGAGATAGTGTGATCTATCGGCTTGGTATAAGCAGCACCAGCTTTGGGGAGAAGTGCTTGGGTTTAAGCGGCACAACTTGTCAGAACTTCTCATTGATTTGATTAGTGGAATCCGCCAAGGGCATGGTAAGCATGGGAGAGTGGACGTAGGCTTGCTATAAGCCGAACCACTATAAACTTGTGTGCAGTTTTTCTATCCCTTATCTCTTACTTTACATTCTGCACATCAAGAGCACTGTCTATATAAACTGTCTTGAATCTGAATTTTATTCAGACTCAACTGTGATCTTTCATTTCCGCATAAATTGATAAAAATTGTTTAACATCACCTATTCACCCCCCCCCCCCCTCTAGGTGATCCTTGCTAGCTACATCAAAAAGCAACCGAAGTGATAAGAACACTAGGTTACATGGCTCCGGAATACTATCGAATGGGTGAGACAAGTACGGAATCTGATGTCTATAGTTTTGGAGTCGTCCTTTTGGAAATAGTATGCGGGAGAAGAGTCATCGAAGACGAAGGCCACCTTGTTGAGTGGGTTCGGGAGCAATATGGGCGGGGAAAGTTGCCTGTGGACTCGAAGCTCGGCAGAGATTTCGACAAGAAACAGGTGAAGGCCTTGATGATTGCGGGGCTTTGGTGTGCTCATCCCAATGTTAGCCATCGGCCCTCGATTGAAGAGGCAATGGCCGTTTTGAACTTAAGGGCAGATCTTTCCAATCTCCCCTCAGATCTGCGACGGTCTCAATGGAAGGTCTGGTCTAGAGGCTTTCGGTTTTGGGCAAATGCCTCGCTCTGAGTGCAAGAAATGATGCCTCTTTTAGCGGTGCATGCATGTCATCTTCAAGCAAAAAGTTACACTTTTGTATATACGTTTATCGTACAGACAAAAAAAGTATATACGTTTATTGTGTCTCTTAATGTTGCCTTTTGTTTCCGAAGTTGATGTTACGATATCCATGGATAGTACAAAAAGATGTTCTTCAGGAGTTGCCGTTGTCTGTTCACATTCTCAGTATTGCATAGTAGCACAGTAGTGTTATACTGGCCAAGCAGTGAATTGAAGAAAAAGAAACAAGAGATTCTTGTAGCAGGTCTTGCAAGATACAATTTGGCAACTTCCTACAACCGTCTAATAGATGGCATGAAGAAACAAGATTCACAAGATACTAAACAAAGCAGGACATCATCTTAGGAAAATGCTAAAAGCTTTCGACTCTACTTCACTCTCATCGCGCATTGAACCATCAGCCACCTTGGAAATCTGAACCCAGCAAACCCCTCGGAAAAGAATCGTCAATTACATATGCCGGATTCATCATTTCATAACTTTGGCCGATCATTCTACCAGTTTCAAATGTTGGCAATTATTCTCCTGTTTAATTGATACCCAAACTGAACTCGTTATAATAAACTTTCCCGCAAATTATCCAAAAGTTCTACTTCAAAACCCAATCAGACCAAGTATCTAGCTGATGTATAAAGAAATCTTTTGTCTAATTGATTAATAGGTTATCCTATAAGCTATATATGATACATATGTATTAATAGCCATAATTGAGCAGTTACACGTGTTCTGCGTTTGTATGATGCACGTAAACATGTTGCTAAACTACTAAACTAACTCTTTAGATGGATGCCAAATATCATTCTCCATCTAACTGTGAACTAAAGTCATTAAAAAGAGATAAACTTGAAATTTCATATTTCAGATTCTCAACACCAGGTTTTCAAAGTTTTTGAGAATTTTTCGTTTGATTATCCTTTTTGTCTTTAATTTTTTTATAGCGATTTAGATGGTATTGCAACAAAAATCCGATGAGTTCTAACCTTAACGTGCGGGTAGACCTCGTGGGCCTTGGACCTGCATACTACAAAGAAAGAAAGTCTCTGCATTTTGTTCTACGTGGACCCTTCGATGTTTAAGTCGGAAAGAAAGTACTGAGAACGTGAGAATTTGCCCTTTACTGAGAGCTTATTCATGGTGAGCCTCTCTGCATGTCGGCATGCTTCATGGGCAATCTCAAAGCTCTCTAGTACGATAAATCATGCCGATATCAAATGATGTTTCGTAGATCAACTCCCACAAGTCAAACTAAGTTCGTATCCGGATCTTGTCAAAGATACCTCGTCATCATCCATATGCCCAAGACCCAATAATCGGAAATGGAACACTTCCTCGTAACTTGGCCCGAAGAGATTCGGTCGAGGGTCAATTGAATTTAAGACGTCAAAACGTTTTCTTGATGCGCATAGCTCGATTTTACCTATCAAATTATCTGTCCACCTTATTATTATCCATGTTCTCAAGGAGACTCTCGCCACTAATGAGTTTGCAGCATTAAAATTTGAATTGAATAGATCAATTTCTCTTTTTTAAGCGTCACTCCAATTTGGATTATATGCTGTACAACCGAGGAAGCTTGTTTCGGCTCGTAGCGAGTCGAGCTTGTCCAGGTTTCTTTGGATTCTCCGATTCTTTTGCATTGCTTTGGTCATCGTTCCCTTATAGAGTTCATTCAACTTTTTCCCTTCTGGGATTTCGAATGACGATGCATTTGTTTTCAAATTTCTCTGTTGCCGGAAAAATTAGCGGGTAAGAAGAGGAAACTGGTTTTCTCAAGTCCATGACTTAGCATTCAGTCGTCAATTTAAGACTCGATGCATTCACCCACATTAACTTTTTTAATTCGTAGCTGTAGGTGACTCAGTGGGATGTCTAATGTACATAGACTTGTTTACAACTGACTGTGCAAGTGTCGTAAAACAGTTTTATGATTGTGTTACGACGTTCTTTTACTTAATAAGGACATGTAGTAATGTTGTACCGCACACCTCATGTACCGTAGAAGTGCCCGTGACTTTGCATTCGGTTCGTCCATTCTGTCGTCAATTTCAGATTTGATACATTCACCCGCAATAACTTTTAAATGGATTATGCTTGTTAAGGGCTCTGGCAATGGAGATTTCAAAATTATAGGTGACTCAGTGGGAAATTCTGAAGTACACCACACTTGTTTACAATGAACCGTCATAACTGTTGTAATATAATTTTTCAAGGTGTTGGACGATTTTGTACTTAATAACTACTAGTAGTAATGTTGAATGGCATGGGGGGTGCCCGTGACTCAGTAGCCTCTTTGATGAGAAAAAACATCGTCATTGTAGATTATGCACCATGGAGTCATCACTGTTGAGGAAAATTCCTATTAATTTTGAAGTTGACAAAACCTTCCACATAATTATAAGTCTGATGCTTATTCTGAACTAATTTATTCCAGGTATTTATGTTCTGGAAACTTAGAAGGAAATTATTCAGACTTTACAAACTGTCAAGTATGTTTTTGAAGACCCACATAATCTAGTTTCTGAGATTCAGACGCAGAAGTTATTCGGATGCGAATACGGTAAGCGAAGTTATTCGGATACGGTATGCGAAGCGAAGTTATTCGAGATGCGACGCAGACGCAGACGTTGACGAATTTCTTGGGACGTTGAGAATTCGGAACGAAACACAGCAGCTAGTGATCTGGCATGGATTTCACAAAAGGAATGTTCTGATTGTCTCAATCTCAATCAAATTGATTGACAATCAAACATCACGACAATAATGCATTACAACGGACAAAACTCTACTTATGGAAACCAAGATTCTGATTGTATGGGCGACCAGAATCAGCGGGATTCAGAATCTGTCATCCAACGGCTACTCAATCCTTATTATACAAATCTGTCCAAAGTGAAGATTGGAAGATGATCCTCTGAAAGCTGTCCAACGGCTAGTAGAGGAATATTTAAGGAGATCAACGAGCAGCAGAAGGAACACAGAATAAAGAATCAACAAGTCCAAAGTCTGAGCATACTCCAATCATTTCTCTTGTCATTCTGAGCCAAACATTAAGATCTTGAGGGACACTTTGTAAGAGTGATTGTGTGAGATAGAGAATCCTATCATACACAAGAGTATTAACACTCAGAAGTTGTAATTCCCCTTGATTACATAGTGAAATCCCGGTCGGTAGGGTCAAGCGTGGGAGAGTGGACGTAGGCTTGCTATAAGCCGAACCACTATAAACTTGTGTGCAGATTCTCTATTCCTTATCTCTTACTTTACATTCTGTACATCAAGAGCACCGTCTTTATAATCTGTCTTGAATCTGAATTTTATTCAGACTCTACTGTGATTTATTTTGTTTCCGCATAAATTATCAAAAATTGTTTAAGATCACTTATTCACCCCCCTCTAGGTGATCCTTGCTAGCTACATCAATTGGTATCAGAGCAGGTTGCTCATTTATTGAAGTGTCTTACTTCTGAGCTAACGATCTATATGGCTAGCTATGGTGCTCCGGGGCTCATTGAAGGACGAGCAACAACAGACCACCATATTTCGATGGCAAGGAATATAGTGTCTGGAAGAATAAGATAAAGGCATTCATAAAGTCAATTGATCACATGCAATGGGATGTCATCATCAGAGGAGTCAATCCAAGATCTTCTGATTCAAAAGAAAAGGCAGATGCAAGCATAGCAGCAGATCCTCTATTATCTCAAACTGAGATATCCAAAAGAGAAACCTTAGATTCCAAAGCAATTTATTCTCTCTATTGTGCTTTATCACCTATTGAATATAAAAAAATTGCTGCTTGTGAATCAGCTAAGGAAATCTGGGATACTCTCCTTGTTACTTATGAAGGAACAGATCGTGCCAAGGAAACTCAAATCAATCTTTTGCTTGGTCAATATGAATCCTTCAAAATGAAGCCTGGAGAATCAATTGCTGATTTGTATGACAGATTTACTGATATAGTAAATGGTCTTGCTTATCAAGGACAACCAGTTCCAGATACAATGAAAGTCAACAAACTTCTGAGAGGACTGACAAATCAGTGGGATAACATCAAAATATCTCTTCGAGAAACACAAAGGATCAAGCCTCTATCAGTGAATGAGTTAATTGGAACTCTTCAATCATATGAGATTGAGAAACGGAATGAGGAGAATGAATCCAGAGGTAATAAGTCAATTGCTTTGAAGACTAACATTGATTCTGATGCAGATTCTGAAGATGAAGACGTTGATGATGAACTAGCTCTCTTTATAAAGAAGTATAAGAAAATGAAGATCAAAGGAAGAAACCTCAGAGGTAAGAAGCCTTTTGAGAAGAAGAAGTTTTTCGATGAAACAGAGAGATCAAAGGATGTTATATGCTTTCACTGTAAGAAACGTGGACATATTGAGCCAAATTGTCCACTTCTGAAAAAGAAGACCAAGTTTGAGAAAGCAAAGAAGGCTTTAAAAGCAGAAACCTGGAGTGAAACAGAGTGTGAAGACAGTGATGAAGATATCTCAAATTTCTGTCTAATGGCTAAGTCATACTCAGACTCTGATTCAGATTCTGATCCCAAAGTGGAGATTGAGGTAAAACATTCTGGCATGCCTATTGAAGTATCAAATTACATTGATGAATTATGCTTTGAATTCAAGACTGCTCTTAAATGCATCTCTTCTTTGAAAAAGGAAAATTCATCACTGAGGCAACAGGATGTTTCACAAAAAGAAAAAATCGATTTCCTTCAAAAAGAATTTCATCAAGTCAAGGAAAGTCGAGATTTTCTTTCCAAAGAAAATGCGGTTTTGAAAAAGCAAGTTTCAGAAATTACTTCCAAGTTTTCAAAGGGTTCAGAAACCTTGAAGCATATCCTTTCTATCCAAATTCCTTACTACAACAAATCTGGTCTCGGATTTGTGAAGGAAAGTGATAGCTTGATTGATTTTCCAAAGGTCAAGGAGAGATTA